TTTCCCTAATAATAATCTCACTAATACTGATACTCGTAAAGAAGATCATTCAGCATTATCAGTAACAACACTAAGTTAAATCTCAATCTTAACCATTACGACCGTGCATTATCTATGTGTCTGGCGCATGGGACCAACGCGCTCTTTGATTTTTTACTTACTCTGCTTTACTTCTGCTTCCGTTTACTCTGCTTGTACTAATTTTGTTCGAAAATAAATCATCTGTTTATATCAACAAGCTATAAATGTTGAAAACAGAGCGACACAGGGGAACAGTGTGACCCATTCATGGGTTACACAGTTTCTACGCATCCCAAAACTCGTTAACGCACTAGTGGGTCGGGTGGTTGTCAATAGATTAATGAACTCCGTTCGCGGCTTGAGTTGCTCAAGCAAAAGCTTATGTAAAATGCAGAACTTTCTGCAAAAACCAATATATTTGTAAACAACTTTGGTTTGAATCTCAGCGTGCATTGCCAAACTTGGAAGATTCTCCTACTTGTTTGATCGAAACTTTAGCCGAGAATGTTAGCTTTTTTCGCTTCCTGGATTTGACGCACGATAGACATCCATGTTACACCTTGCTGAAAGTACCCACTTTGATTCCAGCTGGCCAGTGCGCAACTGCAAACCATTTAGCTGCCCAGTAAATGAGGAATGGCGTGACTGTGCCGTGCCCTGCGAGCGTAGCTGTGCTTCTCCTGCCCCGGTAACGCTTTAGTGTACACCTTCATCTTTCTCAGCAAATCAACGAACTTTGCAGCTGTGCCCGGATATATGCCAATCAGGAAAATGCCAATGCAAAGATGACTACTTTCGGCGCAATGGCATGTGCGTGCCTTATGTACCTGGTTGCAACGGTGTTCCTATTCAAGGTCCTGGAGGATAAGATATGCTCGGTCGCCCCGTGATATTGACATTTTCTCTAATAAATCATCGTTTGCCCACACCAAAGTGCAAACTCTCTAACTTGCTTAGAAAAATATATTAGAATTTCTCAGATTTCCTTTGGGCAACTACCCTTTAAACGTGAAGAGGGGAGAAAATAAGGTTTGATGAGCTTAGATGAATCTAAGATAGACGGGCAATATGGGTACTTAATCTAACGTGTACATCTAGTTTCATTGATTTGCGAAATTTGCTTCAAGATTTATAAACTTAACAGCCAGCATCACTAGATTTATAGGATTATGCAAACATCGACATGTTTGCTACGCTAAGTGATTCAAGCAACCGCTCATTTCTTTCAATGCGCCAAGTGATTATGACAATAATGAACACATTTTCTATCGATTTCTGTGCTTATCGAGAAAAACTCTGTTGTGATTTCGAAGTTTGCGAAGTAATGTCAAATGTTAGAGGGTCATTGTATGCCTCTACTGCCTTTTCTTTTCAAAATTATCAGATCTGCATCTCGCAATATCTATAACTAAGCTTGGTTGTTTGAAATGAAATTTTTGAACAAGTGACTGACTTTTTAGGCCTTTGAGAAAGCCATCAGACCCAAAGAGTCACTCACTTGTTTAAAAAGTAGAGCAATTCATCCATGTCAAAATTACGATCGAATAACAGCGAAGTAAGTAAGGCATAATTGTTAGGAGCGAAACATTTTAGCTCTCAAGAAACTTTTCAATGCGAAGAATTACATCGTTTATTTTCTTCCCTGATTCTAGTCAACTCAGCCCTCGCTCATTTGGATTGATAAGCTGATATCATCTAATGAAGTGATGGCGCTCTGCTTCAGGTACTTTGAGACCTCTGGCATCCATTTTCGAAATATTCGTTATTTTAAGCTTGGGCTATTGCCTTTTCATTCCCTTGCATTCCCGCACTTTACAAATGCTCCACTTCCATAATTAATGTTCTGGACAAATCTGCTTTGGACTTAACTTGCGAATAGCATGCCATTTGCAGCGGTTTTTTTTTTCAATTTATAAATGGTATATCTCAATTTGATGAACTCGCTCAACAGTTGTATTCAACTGATTCGTATAATCTGCGTTCAATATTTTATAAGGGTATCCTTGAGAGCCTTCAATCGACATATTGGTCACCCTACACGAGCTTACCAGGCTGCCGTACAGGAATGACGTTGTTTAGTGCCAAAAGTCATTTACAAGCTAGCCTGGTAGTCGACCTGTTCCCTAATGCAAGTTGCTTACAAGGGAATGCTTTTTACTCGAAGTGGCCATTTAAAACAAGATATATTCCATAATAACAAGTTGGTTATGGGAAACTCAAAACTGTCTTCCATATCTGCGAAACGGTTTTCTGGAAGAAGATATGGACATTTGTTTCCATGAGGCCACCTAAAATACCGAGTACTTGTGCAAGTACTCTAGATGTTATGGTGGCGCAGTGATAAGTGTCTTGCTTTGCAGGTGTGCGATGCAGGTTCGAACCCTGTTTTCGGTGAACATTTTGCATTTTTTTGCAATAATGTATATTTGCTTAATGAATCTTGAAAAACACTTAATTTGACTATATAATAGTTATGAATATTTATATCATGATAAGAGCATTTACTTTCCAAACTCCTGCTCATTTTTCCCCCTGATCTTATAGGATGTTGCAGAGGAAACAATTGCGACGCAGAACATCTCCTTCGATGCGCTGACTGTGAGGAGCTACTATGTTTTAGCTCTTTATAGACGACTATCACATTTCATAGGGTAAATAATTTCAAATGACATCTAATCATTAGTTTAGCTTTACTTTAGACAATAAATCAACAAGTTAAAAAGGCTTTCTCTAGCAATAAGAGGTAATTGCAAAAAACGCAAAAACTTCGGCGGTGTCAGGATTTGAACCTGAATCGCATACCTGCAAAGCAGAACACTTACCACTGCGGCACCCTGGTATTCGGAACGGCTTGCGCAAGTACTCGGTATTGTAGGCGGCCTTATGGAAAAAAGTGCCCATATCTTCTTACAAAAAAACCGTTTCGCAGATATGGAAGACAGATTTGAGTTTCCCATACCGAACTTGTTACTATGGAATATATCTTGTTTTGAATGGCCACTTCGAGTAAAAAGCATTCCCTTGTTAGCAATCATGCATTCAATTTCACGAGCGACTCTAGATTTAGCAAATCAAAGGTAAAGAGAAGAGCATTGATAAATGTGACATAATTCAGAACTCTAAACAACTCAATACATCATTTTACGAAGGGGAAAGTAATTAGGAATGTGAAATAGAAGTGTGAGGAAATGGTCTCTGAATCTGAGACGTTGCAAAGATATGTTTACTTCTTGTGCCGGTCGACAAGAATTGGCTAACTTCTCCATATCCATTTTACATCAGCCAAAAAAGGTAAGATTGCTTTTGTAACCTTGTAGAACACCATAAGAGCAGGGTGAGCCTCATGAAGCTTCCTTCTTCCATATTTTTTGCCACATCGCTTGCATTCTGTTCTAGCTGAGTAAAACAGAAGAATTCAACTTGTTCATTGTAACGCAACGGAATGCTAAGTAAATTAACATAAGTAGATTGATAGCCAACAGAAAGAGATTGAAGAATAAGAGAAACTAGCTGGCAGCAAGAGAGGATGTAAGGCAGTTCAACTGTTTAAACTTTATAATTTGTAGAATTGGAGAAAAAGAGAATAACTCCTGTGCATGAGCCGTGGTTGTACTCAGCAGATTAAAAATGCACAGATTATTTTCAAAACGTGAAAACACAGAAAAGCCTGAACTCGCAGTATTTAAAATTTTGCAAAGTGAGAAAACCTCAAAGCAGGACCCTCTCGTATGCGCAGTCCGTCGCCAAATTTTAACACTCAGCATGCGTAACGTAATCAGTTTCT